GGGAGACGTGCCTGTGCTTCTTTCCAGGAGGGGTGGTCTATACAGTAACTTCCCGGCGGTGTGCACCCCCACCTTCCTCTAGCAACCCTTCTGTGTGCCAGGCACCAACCAGACCGGAGGCTCCCGATACCCTCTCTCTAATCCTCACCACTGTGCAGGACACCACTCTCCCATCTCATTTGACAGACAGAGAAACAAGGCTTAGAAAGGGCCAGGGATCTGTCAGTCAGAGGAAGAGCCAAAACGTGAACCCAGGTCTGCTGACCCCCAAGTGTATGCCCTTTCTTTGGCCCCACCCTGCCCAGTTAAACTCCAGCCTGGACCCCTCAGCTCCGCTCCAGCCTTCCAGCCAGGTGAGGCTTCCTGAGCTGACGGCTGAAACTTGGAGAGGCCCAAACCCACCAAGATGGGCAAGGAGCCGTGGGCACAGCCTAGAACTCTGACACCTTGAGGTGACCATGATCTTGGGCCTCTGCTTTGCCTCTCCCTTCGGCCACGGTGAGTTGTCAGGGGCCAGAAGGGCAACCCCCTACCTCCTCCCATCACCTCCTAGAGACCCACCCTCGTGATGCCTGTTCATGGTCTTCAGGCCCGGCGATGATGCAACCAGATGAGCACCAACGGCAATCCACAAGCCTGCGTTTGCCGGCGTGCCCTTGCCCAGGGAGCGAAAGGACATGTGTGCCCGGTGCCACTGATTCCTGCAGGTGGGCTCCCGGGCCTCCATTCTAGGGGGGCGAGCATGTTGGTCACAGCACCAGGGCAGGGAGGGAGGTGATGCTGCTGCATGGACCCACTGGGGAAAGAAGACCCGGAGGAGGTAGGAGAAGGCTGGGAAAGTGCAGGATCAGCTCCAGGTTCTGGGGAGCCCTGGCTGAAACCCCCCTAGGGCCGTCAGGGTGTGGGAGAGGATCTGGCCTCACATGAAGATGAACAGAGGAGGTGTCATTGTGTTGGAGAGCTTCTAGGGATACACACTGCCCCAGGGTCACTGGGTGCCAGGAACTATCAAGGCCTTGTTCCCACCACACCCACCACACTACCCCTGGGTGGGTGCTCCTTAAATACTTGTCGCGTGAATTTGTTCTGCTTACTGAGTCCTCCCAAGAATGACCTCAGATGACACAGGCAGCCATCTGGTACAGGGGAATTTGGATGTCAGTTAAAACAAAAACCCATCATATGATTGTGAATGAGGGGGAGTGCGGAGTGGAGACCCAAAGCCCATCTGTAGGCAATTCCACATCCCCTTACAGAAGGGTCGCCGGGAGGAGACGAGCCAGTCGGGGTGCAGTATAGCACTGATGAAACATATACCTTTCCTCTGGTTCTTTAATGCTTCCCCTCCCCCCACTATCATGACCCCAATTCTACCTTACAAATCCGGCTAGACCAGGGTACAGATAAGAGCTGGAAACACAGGGAATCCAGGACAGATAAACCCCTCAGGACCAATATTGAGAGTAGCCATACCAGGAGGGGAAGGGGAAGGTGGGGGGAGAATGGGGGAACCGATCACAATGACTTACATGTAACCCCCTCCCAAGGGGATGGACAACAGAAAAGTGGGTGAAGGGAGACATCGGTCAGTGTAAGACATGGGAAAAATTTATCAAGGGTTCATGAGGGAGGGAGGGGGGAAATGTGAAGCTGATACCAAGGGCTCAAGGGGAAAGAAAATGCTTTGAGAATGATGACGGCAACAAATGTACAAATGTGCTTGACACCATGGATGGACGAATGGATTGTGATAAGGCTTGTAAGAGCACCCAATAAAATGATTTTTAAAAACCCCAAAACTCCTATCAGGCAACCCAACCTCTGCCTATCACTGCACTTGTCCTGCTTCACTTCCGGGTCAGCAGCTTCTCTGCGTCTCTGCCTTCAAAAGGGCTTCCCTGCTCTGGAGCCGCTGGTCCAGCCTGGATTCCAACCACGCTCCACCACGTCCAGCAGGGTGACCTCTCTGAGAAGGAAGAATCGGCACAAGGCCAGCCCCATATTCCTAGGTCACAAAGCTCCATCCCCCTTCGGCAAGTTCCCTGGAGAGGATTGGCTGTCTGCTCTTTAGAGAGGCCGGCCTCTGAGAGGTTCGGAGGATCTGTGATCTCAGAGGGGGAGAGAAAGAAATCACCCCAATCCTACACACACACAGGGACCTCGGAGGAGAGGGACCTGGACGACAAAACAGACCCAGACAAGGCAGGGAAACACACCCACATCCCTCCCACTCACCTGAATCCAGCGATGCTTAAGGAGGGTGGTGCATCCGGACCGTGGGGCCTCTCTCCCGGCTGCCCAAGTGGTCACTCGAAAACCAAGGAGGGAGAACCACTATTGTTCGGGTTTGGTTTCTGCCTTTCCAAAAGATATCGTGGATCTTGGAGTCCTCCTCCTGGGACCTTGTTTGGAAACGGGGCCTTTGACGATGTTATCAGTCCGCAGCAGGTCCGACTGGAGCTGGGTGGGTCCTACTCTAAGCTGGGTGTTGCAAGAGAGGGTGCATCAGGACACAGGGTCAGAGGCAGGGTGATCAAGTGTTGGCAAAGGCAGAAGCAAAGCCAGCCGAGGAACGCCAAGGATTTCGGGAGCCCCTGGAAGCTCGGAGGGAGTTATGGAAGAGCTTCTCTCGGCGTCCTCCGAAGGGGTCTCCACAGCTGATACTCTCATTGGGCTCCTAGTCTCCAGGACTATGCAACAACAAGATTCTGTCACTCTAAGCCTCCTAGTGTGGGATGCGTTATCAGAGAGGGATACAACCCTTTTAAGAAGGGAGAGTCGTGTGGGTTGCAATCAGAGCCGTAAGAGCCCTCAATAAAAAGATTCAAAAATAAACAAATCAAAATCAAAAAGGGAGAGTCGGTACGGACTTGACGGGTCCAAACGGTTAAGTGCTCAACTAGACCTGAAAAATCGGTGGTTCGCACCCCGCCAAAGGCACCACAGAAGACAGGCCTGGTGGTAGGTGGCATCCTTGAAGACGCTATGAAGCATTCTACCCTGCACGCACGGGGGTCTTCCCGAACAGGGGGCAACCTGAGGGGCCCCCACACCAAGATGCTGGGGCCTTTACTCACCAAACGCATGCCGTCTTCCTGGGTGCTGGCATAGGCTCGCGCCTACTCTCCGTCTCTTGTTCCCTCACGTGGACTTTCAAAGCTGCCACCCAGCCTCCCTGCCATCCACCCACCTCCCCACCCAGGCGCACTTCAGGAACAGCGGTGATGGTCGCTTCCTGAAGGCATCTCAGCTTGTCTTCCTGCCTGCCTGCCCCCTCCCAGGCTCGGCTATGCAGGCTCCTCCAGAGGCCCCCCTGGAGCTTCCAGGGGGCCATCAGGTCCTGCTCCTCCTTCCACCACGTCCAGGGTCCCCCTGGAGAGGGGCAGCAGAGTCGGTGGTCTGAGGAGAGTGGTCGGGTCCAGGGAAGTCAGCATGCTCACAGCAGTGCCGGCAACGCGTCTCCTGGCTTCTTCGGTGCCCAGGACCTCGTAGCTGCTCTTGAGCATGGACCACGCGTCAGACCCTGTGCTAGGGCGCTGCTGACTCCCCAAGGACCACGGTGGATGCTGTTGGGTAGATTAGGACACTGGGGCTTGCAGAAGGGTTATCCCGCAGCCAGAACGTGCTGGCACAGAGTCCAGGGTGGGTCTCCTATGGACCAGCTACACAGAGCTCCAGAGACCACCCATCCACCCTTGCAGATGCCAAACCCTATTGGGAGTCTTGGGGTGCTGTGCCCCAGCTTGGGATGTGAGCCCTGGATGGTAGCAGCCTGTCTCTGGCCCAAACCTGGAGCTAGCTTCGCTTTGCATGACCGGTTCTAGAGGGCGGGGGTGATGTGTGAAGGAAGACCCCTCCCCGAGGCTTCTGCTTAGCATCTTGCCCGGGGCATTGCCCAGGGGCATCTGTGGCAATGTGAAGACTGCAGGATGCTGCCTTTTCAAGACTCCAGAACCAGCCAGGACTCAAGATCAGAAGCTGGGTGTTGGAGTTTGGATGGCCCAGCCAGGGTGGCGCCCCTGACCTCCTCCATGGAGAGGACAAGGTGCGGACCATGCAGGACCCAACAAAGCCGGACACACAAGAAGCCTGGAGTGAAGCAGGGGCTCTGGGGTGTAGTGGGCAGGGGCTGGGCCCCTGAGGTGGACCGAGGCCAATGAGGAGGTGAGATCCCTGAAGCAAGAGGCCAGGCGCCTGCAGAGCCCCACAGGGATGGGTGAGACTGGAGGACGGCCCTGGCTCACCTCTCACTGGGTTACCTCCTGCTGGGCAGCCTTGGGCAAGTGACCTCCTCTCCTCAGACCTCAGTGGTCTCATCTGTCCAATGGACATGCAGACAAACCCCGTGGCAGAGGCTTGTCTTGAGGTGGTGATGAGTGCTCACAGACCAAGTGTTTACAGTGATCCCTCGCCACTTCGCGCTTCGACTTCCGCGGCTTCACTCTATCGCGGTTTTTGCGTAACCGCGCATGCTCTGTCATTACTGCCACTGATTGGCTCATACTGTACACGCTTGATGCCATAAATAAAATAATAAATGATCATTGTAACGTCCAAAATGTTTGACTGTATTTTCCCTTTTTCGTTTAATAAATTGGGTAATACGAGTGTAATGGTGACTAAAGAGTGTTTTTTCATGTCCTCTATGCTCTAACTACAAAAATATTTGATTTACAAATAAGGAATCCTACTTCGCGGAATTTCATTTATCACGGTAGGATCTAGAACCAATTAACCGCGATAAACAAGGGTTCACTGTATTTAGGGAACCCAGAGCCTCCACCTCACCCAAGACCTCTTCACACAAGATCAGGACCTTCGGGAGAAAGGACCAGCCCAGAATGTGCAGCGGCATCCCTCCCTGTGCCCATGACCCCCTCATGGTACACCGTCTTCCTCCTCCCCCATGTTAGCAGAGACTCATCTGCTTGGCCACCCGGAAGGTTCTGGAGCACATACACCTGATAGGAAATAAAACGCACAGGCAGGCTTTGCTTGCACATCATCTGTATTGTCACAGGAAACGCATGTCCATAAACGGTAGGCTTGAAACGACCTATTAGGTCACATGGAGTCCAGCCCCTGGGGGCCAACGTGGCACCGAAGCCCATGGTCCAGGGCCAGCACTTGATGCAGCTTAGCTTTCCACAGGCTGTGGTGGGCAGGGAGCACCTGGGAGAGGCCAGCTCAAGCCCCGGGCCCTTTGGCTCCAGGGGCCGCATCTCCCAAAGGGCACTTGGGAGAGCAGAGTTCCCAGGGAGTGAGCAGCCATCCTCCAGGAAAGGGTTCTGTGTTTAAATAAGTTTGGGGACCAAGGTGCCGCCAGAAGCTTGGCCCCAAGACTTGTCGGAGCCTTTCTGCCAAGGAAGACCCCCGTGGCGTGTGGACATGGGGACCAAACAGGAGCATTGGCCAAATATGTTTGGCAACAGAGTCCTTCTTTCACCCGGTTGAACCTCGCAGGCTGGTGTCCTGTGAGTGCTGCCCTAAGCTAGCGGTCGATGATCATTCGTGAAAATGGGCAGCTGCACTGGGTGGTGGAGGGGCTTGGGATATTGTGCTGGACATGAGGGGCACATGAGCCAAAGGCTCAACAGGGATGACACAAGAGGACAAGACCAGATCCCTCCCCTCTCCCATCGCCTTGGTTCTCGCCTGTCTTCCGAGCAGTGGCCTAGCGGGGCCTTCTCCACGGCTGGACCCCTGCTGGCCTAGAGGAGCCGTGGGTTCCACACCCAGGGGCAGGCGGTGCCCAGCACCACCAAACACAGCACTCACCAGGGGCCAGTCTGCTCAGGGTCGCCGGCCTCCAAGATGGCTTGTGGGCAGCTGACTCCAGGGGTGGGGCTGCTGGCTCAGTGGCCCTCGCTGACCGCCCTCCAGGTCGTCCTTGGGCCTCTCCCCAGCCCCCAGGAGCCCCAGCCTCCCGGGGAAGGTGTGGGCGGCCAGCTCACCAGGCCGAGATGAGCATCTGGCAGGTGTTGGAGGACATCCAGACCAGCTCCACCAGGCGGAATTGGAAGTAGCCGATGATGAAGCCCGAGACGACATCCGTGATGTGGTGGCGCCCGATCATCACACGAGATAGGCCCACGCAGAAGGCCCAGAGCACCAGGAGCACGCGCAGGGGCACCGCCAGCACCAGGTGGCTGAGAAAGAACTTGGACACCATGGCGGCGCGGCTGGCGTGCCCGGCCGGGAAGGCGTAGATGTCCATGGTGAGGTAGTCCAGGAGGCCCGGGCTTGTCTCATAGGGACCCCGCCGCTTGATGAGCTTCTGCACGCCGGCCACCGTCATGATGTCCAGGAGCAGGGCTGTGGGCAGTGTCACAGGCACAGGGTCATCAAAACCATCCAACTCCCGGGGCCTTCCCGGACGGACTACCCAGGCCTGGCCCCCTCCCATCTCTTCCCCTGCCTGGCCACCTCCCGTGTCACTCCAGCCTGCTGACCTCAGAATGCAACTAACCTCAGGGCCTGGACCCCTATTCCCGGCACTCAGGGAGAAGCCTTGCCTGACCACTCCAAGTACACACCGTCCACCTTGCCCTTCCACCCGGCTTTGGCGCTCTCACCCCCTGCCCTAGGGCACACGTCCTGTTGTTACATCTCTCTCTTACGCCCCCAGGACGGCCCCTGTTCTGTGCATGGCAGAGAGGTGTCTGGGGGTCCCTGGGTGGTACAAATGGCTAAGCGCTTGGCTGCTAACCAAAGGGCCGGTGGTTCAAATCCCCCCAGAGACACTGTAGAAGAGAGGCCCAGAGGTCTACTTCCCGCAAACAATCAGCCGTTGGAAATATCAGGGCGCACACAATCCCACTCTGAGGTCACCAGGGGGCTGGACTGACCGACAAGTGGCTTGGTGTTTTGGTTTGGGAAATGTAAACGGAGACCTGGGTGGACAGGGGAATCATGGAAAATCATGAGGTCCTGAGAAGGAGGGAGGGAGGGAGGGGGAGGCGAGAGAGAGGGCGGCCCTGGGGTGGGTGCTTTTCTGAAATGACTGCATTAAAAGCCCATGACAGCCCTGAAGGTGAGAGTATGAGAGTCATCCCCATTTCACAGAGGGTGCTCCAAAGCCCTAGGCTCCCTGAACATTCATACCCACTGCCCCTCCTTCCTGGAATGTCCCAGCCCCCTTTCCGTCCCCCACAGGTACCTTCCCCTTCTCCTTCAGGTCTCAGCTTAGATATCACCTCCTCAGGGAAGCCTTCCCCGCTGCCCAGCCCAGCCCAGGCTCTGACTGTGCTTGCCTTCACAGCCCCTGGTCACCTGTCCCAAGAACTCTGCTCCTCCCGGCAAACAGCATCCCTCACAGAGGCCAAGGCCATGCCTGATTTAATCTGCAGTTTACACCCAGTGCCAGACAGACAGCTCCAGCACCAAGCATTCGCTGAGTCGTTGGCCCGAAGCTCATGGTCAGAGGAGTGGAGCAGGGATTCCAGCCTGCCGGGCGCCTTCCCTGCTTGGGGAGCACTTGGAAGACCTGCCCCCTGTCCTGCTGTGTGGCACAGAGGGGCTGGCCTGGCTCTCTGGGTCCCAGCTTCACAGCTGTGTGACCACAGTAGCTCCCAGACAGCCCATGCGGGGAACTCTAGGCAATCCTCTGATATGGGGGTGGGGTGCATCCACAGGGCCAGGTGGCACCCCAAAGGCAGATGCCCTGACAGTGGACAGTCCTGCACATGTGCCCAACATGCGTCCCCATCCTTCGAACAACTGGTCTCACGGGGCCTTACTTGACCCCCATCAGGTCACAGCACCCGTAAGTCCCTTACCGGGGGACAGCGAGGACGAAATGGGCAGTGCTGTGGGTGGTGAAACACCAGGTATCACAGTCACCGGTGTGGGTTCGACCCGGGAGCCTCTGGGATGTGCAACCTTGGACCACTGACTCCCTCGCTTGCCTTCCCTCCCAGCTCCAGGCAGGGAGCGCTTCCCTCTCAGGTCTGCTGGGAGGGAGCCTGGCACTGTGCCTGCTGGGGGGATCACCCGTCTGTTTTGCCAGGGACAGAGGGCCTCCCTGAGATGCAAGACAGTGAGGGCTAAAATCACGACAGCTGCCGGGATGAGATGGTCCCCTGAGCCTCTGGAAGGACTCAGTTAGGCTGAAGGACAGCGGAATGCAGGCTGGCTCTCGGGGCGTGCCCAGAAAACTGTGCAGGATTTATCAATGGCATTGGCTCACCACTGCCGTAGCTCAGAAAGAAACAAACCATGGTAAACAATGGAATCTAGATGAGCACTGGAGAACACTGAAGGGATAGGCTTAAATCTGCGAGTTGTACCCCCAAAGAGCCTGGTGACGCTGTGGGTGACACCTTCACCGGCTAACCCCAAGGTTGGCCGTTCCAGCCTTCCAGTGGCTCTGCCGGTGAAAGATGGGACTACTTCCCTAAAGATGCAGTCTCATACCCTAAGGAGCCGTTCTACTCTGTCCTATAGAGCTGCTATGAGTCCGATGGACTTGACAGCTTTGAGAGAGGCCGAACTTTCAGACCATGTCCCAGTAGCACTGCCCTCCCTGACTGTGGCTCCTCCTGCCCGCAGTAGGTGCTGCTCGGAGTCTGGGCTCTAGGACTGGCATTTGCACCCTGTCCCTCTGATGGCTCCTGCCCCTCTCATCAGCCACAGGGCTGCTGGATGGCTGCCCCGCCCTGGAACACCTGGCTACTAAGCCCCTGAGGGAGGCTTAGGAAGGGAGAGCAGCCTGCTACACACCCCACGTTGTCATGGCAACCGGCTCCCTGGAGCCCAGCCTTCATCCTGGAACACATGCAGGCCACTGGGAGGTGAGTAGCTGGTCAGCCTGCCGGTGCTGCTGACCCAGACCCAGGCCCAGGCCCAGGCCCAGGGGTGGAGCCAACTGAAGTCTGTGGAGGTCACAGGCCCAGCCGGAGATGGGACAGGCAGGAGGGAGGAGGTGGCTGCATCTGACACCCATGGGACGCTTTGACTTCTGCTGGAGCTGAGGCAGGAGGCCAAGAGAGAGGAGTCAGCCGGCCTCTCCAGGGCAGGGAGGCCCATCTGTCATCTGCGAGTTCCCATGCGATGACTTGGGGTGGCGGGCCTGCTCTTTTTAGGGGTAGGGCAAGCACTGGGCTGCTGATGGAAAGCGCGCCTGTTATCACCGCCCCAACATGCTCCCATGGAGATTACAGCCGAGAACGCCCTCAGAAGCAGTCCCCTCTGTCACTTGGGGTGACGAGGGGTTAGACTGGACTCCACGGCAGGGTGGGGGAGGGACCAATGAGCAGACTCTGGAACCATAGGCAGATTCAAAAGGGCACCAGCTCCTCTACTTATTAACCGCAAGTTCTTACGGCATGAAGACTAAAGGACATTTTTTGGCTAAATGATATACATTTACAATAATAACAACAACCAAACAATTACATGTGTGGCTACACAGATATGAATGTCTATATGCATAAAGGAAGGTATAATTATGTATATATGATGCTCATATGGGCACATCTGTAGGCAGATGTGCGTGTATGCTGCATATATATTATTTATAATCAAGCACATGGGGGACCCAGTTACAAGCACTTCCTTTTGTTGCTGCTGTTAGGTACTGGTTCCGACTCACAGTGTCCCGATACACAATAGAACGAGCTCTGCCCGGTCCTGAGCCGCCCCCACATTTCTTCCTCTACCCCACGCATGCACCCACTGTGTCCACCCATCTCATCCAAGGACCTTCCTCTTTTTCACCACCCTTCCTCTGGACCAAACATGATGCCCTTCTCCAGGGACTGGTCTCTCCTGACAATCTGTCTAAAGTATGTAAGACTTACGTCTTATCATCCTTGCCCCTAAGGAGCACTCTGGCCTTACTTCTTCTGATATAGATCGGTTTGTCCTTTTAGCAGTGCGTGGTACTTTTGATCTTCTCTTCTCCTCCAGCCCCACAGTTGGAATGCAAAACTGGCCTGAGTTGGGTCAAAGCATGCTTTCCGTAGCCGCTGGAAGATGGGGGTCACCTATCCTCTGGTGACCAGATTGCTCGTCCCCAAACAAAATCAAACTCAGCAGCTTGCAAATGATTATTGCCCCACTGAGTCGATTGCCCCTCACAGAGCGCCCTGTGTGACTGAGCAGCCGCCTCAGCGGGTTTTCTTGGCGGTAGGACTTAATTAAGGAAGTGGGTTGCCAAATTTTTCTTCCGCAGAGCCACTGGGTGGGTCTGAACCACCAACCTTGCCGGGAGAAGTGAGGGCAAATGACTATTATTTTCAAAAGCAAGTTAGTCTTCTCAATCAATAGCTCATGCACACATCATTCTGTGATGTTAGTGGCAATGCTCACCGAGTGCCAGCCCTCTCCTGATTTCCTCCCTGAGCACGCCATTTCCAGTCACCAGATCTCCTGCCCCTCCCTGACTTAGCATCTTTGGCTTGGGGCAAATGTTACCCTGTTGGTCTGTGGGAGTTGATTATTCTGAGGGGCGCAATCTTGGTGTTATCTGTTTTGTTGTCTCTGAGGGGTTTCCAGTTGGAGAGGTTTCTCAGCGCAGGAGTCTCGTCTCCGGGATCCCTTTATAGATATTGAAGAACCCATTCAGACTGGGACCCTCTGTTGTGATCTTGTTCAGCGTGGTTACCGTGGTAGCCAGGCATCGTCTAGTTCCGTTGGTCTCAGAGGAGGAGGCTGTGGTTCATGTGGGGCATTTGTCCTTTGGGCTAATTTCTTCCTTGAGTTTTCCTTTTTCCTTTGTTCCTCTCTGCTCCAGGCAGGAAGAGACCGATAGCTGCTTCTCGGGTGCAAGCTTTTAAGACCTCAAATGCTAACCACCAGACCAGGATGTAGAACAATGTGTTTATGGATTGCGCTTTGCTAATTGACTTTGATCTCTCCCAAGGTTATGGCCCTTCACCTTCAAGTTCACTAGTTCTGTCACAATGTCTATGTAGTTTCTGGGCCTGTCCCTCCCCATATGTGGTTATATATATGCATTTGAAAATATGCATGTGGATATATATGTGTGTGTGTGTGTATATATATATATATAGAGAGAGAGAGAGAGATACACATACTATACCTATACATGTGTATGACTGTACTTCCATATGACACCCCTCACCCATTTAGCATATATATCACCTATATATCTACTCACAAATTATTGTAAGTTGTTACTGCTGTTGCTGGACTATATGTGTGATTGCACTTACTGATGTCCTTTATCTTTAAAAAAAAATCATTTTATTGGGAGCTCTTACAGATATCATGACATTCCATAGTTCAATCACATCAAGCAGTGTTGTACAATTGCCACCACAGTCAGTTTCAAGACATATTCTTACTTCTCA